ACGGCCTATAGGTGGCACGAGGTGCAATCGAAGATGGCTGCGGAAGGATGATCAACCCCTCAACTTGCCTTAGAAAAGATAGTTCGCACGCACGTACTACCCGTGCTGCTTTCATCGGATGAACTCTTGATCGTCAAATTATGGTATATCGAACCAAGCTATTTTCCTGACAAATAGAAACTACTGAGTGGTTGCTACCTCGTTTCTCGCCACATTGCAAAGGATGGTGTTGTCAGCTGATCAACCGTGTATCAAGTATGTCTTGCGTAATCCTGTGTGTGATGCAGAAAACTGTGCAAACCAGAATTCACGTATGAACTGAACGGCACTCCGACATCATTTGTGCCGAGCTTGTCGGTCTGGCGGATTTGCCGCAGTACACTGTGAGAACTGTCCCTCAGAGGCACGGCAAAGATCGACGTAATGCTGACGAGTGCCTCTCAGTACGTGAGAAGAAGGAGGAGAAAATGAGCGTGAATGCCAGCGGGCGTAGTGTTGTTATTGTAGGTACGGAGACAATGCCCTTCTTCAGTGAACCTTAAGCAAAAGCCTAGAAATTGGCTGCTCTAATTCATTATTTCCTAGCTGGTATAGCACTACCAGGCCACTTTTTTGGGGGGCACGATGTGTTGACAGAGAGTCTGGGTGCGTGTAACCAACATTTGTTTTTTCATAGTTTCTATTTAATTTTTTTACTGTGATATGGATACTGTTGACGTGTTTCCGATATTGGCATCGCCGTTACGCACCATACAAATTCCAAATCGATGAGAGCCCCCACGGAAATCGTGTGTTCTAGCCGAGAGTAAATGAACTCGAGCGAGCACTACGAACGTGGCTGAAGCAAAGGGGAAGCAAGCCAACCCATCTCAGTCGCACGAAGGGCGCATGCGGTAACATCACCCACGTGCGAGGCATTTCGTCGATTTATACCCTGCCTGTCTTGAGGAATGCCGGGGCCACAGGGTACAAGAGAGCAGCTGCCATAAAACCAAATGGAAAGATAGCCGCCAACTGGAAACTTCAAAAATTATTTACTTCCATGAAACAAAAATTGACATGATAAAACTTGGGATATCAAAAGAACTGCTTATTTGCTTTCCAGTTAGATATATGTTATCTTTAATTACACCACCACGTAGTACAAATCGGCCTCAATGTAGACAAAGTTGATGATTTTGGGAAATTTGTGATTTTTTTCACGTAAAGTTTTGTGACTTAAAGGGTGGATAGGTAATTTTTTGTAAAATATATCTTCTATGAAGATTTCTCAGATAATCATTCAAAGAGCATTCATTACAAAAAGTGCAAACATAACCCCTTTCGGCTAAATTCTTGTTGGTGTATGTGGCCAAAACATTGCACTAATAATTATTAGCTTAAAACACCTTGCACAGTCACCTATACTTAATATATATAAACTAAATTTGATATTGGAAGAGCGAATGACACTTTCAATAATTTTTTTCACGAACAACAGTCATACGACATGTGGATAAATTCGGAAAACACTTACGTGACCACAATTTTTTTTCTTCCCGAAATATTCTAGTGATTCACCGCTTTCAATGCAGTAAATCAGCAGGACATTTCTTCAAATCTATTTGAGGTGGGGGCTAAAATAGCTGGTATGGTTGGCGTGAAATGGCCCCACTACAATTGGCACTGGCAGCGAGCAATGCTCCCGGCTTGGATCAAAAGCATAAGCGCTTTTTTGTAAAAAAAAAAAGTAGGATGAAAGAAGAGGTGGGAAAAGGGAAGAGAAGAGTCTGAACACCTGCGCCCTGCGTGTGCCTTGGAGAAAGTGACGGCAAGGGTCACGTGCTGCCGCCACGCGATTACAATCGACCAAAAATACAACCAAATTACTCAAAAATATGTGAACTTTGTTTAGCGTAACATTCGCGCCTTCCCAACTGAATTTCCGTGTCTTCGTCAATTTTTCATAATTTTTATTTATTATCTCTTTAAATGGCAGATAGGGAAATTTATGCACACCACTACCACACGGAGTCCCTCATAATAATAGAAGGGTGTTGGGACGCAAACAGTTCTCGTTTTTCTTCTTTCTTTTCGAGGATTACACGCTACGCTTTACTCCCCCCTCCCTTTTTTTGGCACGACACACAGCAGCCACACTTGTTTCATATAACTGAAAATGAGGCACAGCGGCATTGTTGTAAGCGGGTTGTTTTGCAAAGAGAGCATATCAACATTGGTGGTTCCATCTCATCATCATCACTGATATGTCACTGAAACCAGTATCTATGTAATGGTGGCTTCCACACGTTGTTATGTGCTTGCGGGAATTTTCAAATTATTGTGATCCCTCTGATGTGAAAATTGATATGTCCTGTCATCAGGCATTTCAGGGTTTTAAGAGTGCGTGTACAACAACAAATAAAGAACCAAGTGCGCTGAAATTAACAGAGCTGGTGCACGACCTTTTTTTTTTATTCTCGGCAAGAAATTTTTTTTTCTGTTTTATTCGCTTCACAATAAAGAAGTGGTCGAAATTGCAAGCAAAAAATTGCGTATACGTGCTTTGCGTAACAGAATGCGTGAATTCACCTCGTCAGTCAAACAGCGCGTACGTACAATTTCATGGTGTACTTATAATGTTTTTGCATGCAAAAGTTAACTACGACAGCCAAAGCATTTTTACGAACTGTCTAATTCGCAAGTACACAGGTTATCGTACTGCATTGGAAGTGTGTATCGAATTCAACAACCTTATACCGCAACCGCAAAGCACGGTTTCAATATTGTTTCAACAAGAAACTCCTCAGAGCGTGGGCCCCTTCGCGACACCAGAACAACACCGCCTGTGCCGATCCAGTTGGCCGTGCGTCGGCGGCCGGCTCGCTTTCACATCTCTCCGACGTGGTCGCGTGATGTATGTACGCGGCGCCTCCATGATGCGGCGCATGCAAGGTCGCGCATGCGCGGCGCTCGCTAGCCTACATGGACGCTTGTCACGGTGGAACGTCGTGGTCGAGGACTCGTTAGAAACTACCAAGTTCAATGGCGATTTGCGACACCAAGACGTGTATTTGTTGTCCTATTATGATCGGCTCACCTGTGGTTGCGTGAAGTCGGAAAATATGCCACCAGTAGTTTGCGCAAGGTGTCGTTAACTTCACTGCTTCGAGTAGCCATTGTGTCGGAGCTTTCCCACCAAGCTGACCACCGTGAAGACTTGTGGATTTCGCTATCAGGTAAGTCTTATCTTACGGCTCTAGTGTATTTTCCCTGCTTTCGACCTGTTCGACTGCCGACAAAATGCTCGTGCCTTGAATGTTCACGCTGCTTCGAAATCGCACAGAGGCTTACAGGAAAGCGGCCCTTTTTTTTTTTTTTTGCGCCCGCGGCTTCAGTGTGTTTGCGAATTCTGTGCAACGGTGTCGCGTGCCCCTGACCGTAAGGTTGGTTACCAGTGGTTTAGCGGTGTGGGCTTGATAGCTGCTGTCACGTGTCGTGTTACAGTACGCATTGCGTTATAGTTGATGAAAATTCCTCTACGTCCCGGTAGAGTGGCCGACAAAACAACGCATCCCATCCTTTTCGTTGCAGTTGCGTTATCAGGCGACACGACCGAAGTTCAGTTGGCACGTTCCGTGTAGATAAACAAGCCACTTTGATTAGCAGGGGTGTGACTGCTGGGCTGTTTCTGATTGCAATAATGCACTTATGGGTATCAGCACGGCATATTCTGCCGGCAGCGTTTATTTCAGCGTTTGCAGGACTTGTGCCAGCAGTAGTTGCTCAAGTTACATCCAGCTTGTTGTCCTTTTGGCTCTCGCTATTTTCGCAGTGTCTGTTAGTGAATTTCTCGTCTCATTTGGGCGCCAGTGACCTATGCTGTGGCGCATTGCGGGTGTCGCGGTTCGGCTATCAGAAAAAATATGTGTTAAAAAAAGAACAAAACGGAAACACTATATGGAAGAGATCGCCTGATTGGAGAAACCCCGAGGGATGCACAGCGCGTTAGCACGGGCGTTTCCGAAGCTCATAGGGCGAAAATGGACGAAGAAGCTACCTTCGTTGTAACGGTTTGGCAAGAGTGCTGGCACATCAACTCCGAGCGGTATAGTCCCCGTTGCCGGGGCTCGTCAATGTCTGCACCTTGCGCCCGCAAGTTTTTTGAAGAAAAGGAGCCCACTCGGTTTCTGAAAGAAGGGGTTCAAAGTTCATTTAGCCGCTGCCGCCTTTCACTGCAGCTCAATGACAGACTGTGAAAATCTCTGAGATATGCCATTGCCATTGCTCTCAATGTTTGCAGTGATATCACTAGCACTATTTGATATAATGTAGTATGACTGTTGCTGGTAAACATATTGTAATACTAAATCTTAAAAATATTTTTCCTTTATCTCGATACCAAGTATCAGAGAAGAGGTGACATACGGAAGAAATAACAACAGAAATCAAATATGAAACTGAAATTTACTTGCATTTTTTTATTCAAACGCCTAAGTACTTAGCAGAAGTCGCATGCCACTATTAAATGACTTCATTTGGTGCTGTCAGTTGGTGTTGAACCGAGCGGTGCTTGTTACAATGGGTATACTTAAATTTGGCCAGACTGCTTTGCTGTCTGTGCAACTTCAGGAAATTATGGAAGCACTAGCTGGACAGCGAAACGAGTGCAATACGTTGTCGTTTCACTTAGGCTTAATAGTGTGCAAGTGTTTGTGAAATTCAGCACTTTGCATACATTTTATAGATGGCACAGAACATATACTGTAAAATACCAAGTGAGTGTTTCTGCCTTCTTTGGAAGATTTCAAATATGCGGCCTCTTGTCTCCTCTAACCATTTTCCCTCTTTTATACTGTTTATGCGCAAAACTGAAACAATTAATGCATGTGTGTGTAGCTTATGAAGAACAATGCTGCACTACCCCTCTCTCCTCTCTATCTCCAATGGACGAAATGCTGCTGCCATACTTGCTTTGTTTTTGTCTGAATGCCCAAGTTTTTTGCTGCGTACCGCAGGTAGCAAACAGAAGTGCTCTGACGAACTGTTCGGTGCTGACCACATGGTGAGCCAAGGATCCCATAATAGGTGCTTATTCAGCATCTGTGGCTAACTCAAAGGTAGTGTACAAAGTTCCATTTAATGAAGAAGAGTGTTCTTTTGAGCTAGTCATGTCGAAGTGGATATATTTCAAAATAAGTGAGGGTATACAGAGTAACATCAGGATATAAGCTACCTACCATCTTAACATTATTCATGCAAAAGTGTTAATTATGTGCAACCTTTATTTGAGAGAAAATTGCAATGGTTTCCCATGAATGAGCATAGCTGGAAATCGCTGCACAACCAGTCTCTGTGTTTTTGCACTCATTATTATATGGTCGTTATTTCTGCGATCACTCACTGAGATAAAATTGCTTCACATAAACAACAGTAGAAAGGCTCTTGCTAGCTGTAATAAGAAATGATTGTTATGATAATTTTTAGTTCCAATAAATCATGCTGTTGAAGAGTACTCCACCTATTTGCCACCATGGCGAGTGCATTTCGTCTAGAAACAAGACTTGGCTTCGGAAAGTGTTGCATTTCTGTAGAATGGGGTACTGACAAGTGGAATTTCGCAAAAACTGTAAAACTTTATTGTTTCTTGCAGCAAGCATTGTTATCTTTCTTGTAGATGCATGCATTATGTGAAGAATAGTGCCTCACTTTGAAATTTACAACCTTATCATTACAGTGTCTTGGTAGTTTTTACTGTATGCGATTTGTGTCTGCAAACGTAAACCTAGTTTTTACCATTTTTCAAGGTCAGTTGCTAATTGTTCTGTTTACCTTTGCAAGCAAACTTTCACCTCTGGTGCTAAACAACAGGCTTGAGTGAAGTGCCTGATTCTTGTCTACGAATTTTATAGAATACCTAAAATGAACTCTTCTACTTGGCGCATTTAATTATTACTGTGTGCACGTTCTATGCATCTAGATATAAAACTATAGAATGCAGCTGGTAGCATTCAATACTGTGTTCAGAAGCTTGTATACACTGCGAAATCTTGCTGGTGCCAAAATTTGTTTTGGGTGTACGGTGAAGTGACTGGTAGCTAGCAATACTTCATTGTTACAGCTAATCGCACAATGGAGGATTGTTCAGCTGCTCACGTAATTCGAGCAGATGTCGATCACGTTCACTGTGGTACGACATAGCCACAAAGTTCATGCATCTGCATCCTGCATACCAGGAACCCTTATGGGAAGCAACATGATGCTGTGATGGAGACAGCTAAGTGAGAACTGGGTTTTCTCTATCTGTATATATCATTACAAAGGTTTGTTAAGTGCACTCAAGTAGATTGGGCAGGCACTTGCAGCTACAGAGTCAGTACTAACAGCAAATTTCAATAGCAGAATTACCAGTATACTGCATTTTCAAAAAACTCCATTGTTTTGAGACACCTTAATGTAACAGCTTGCTCACTCATTTCTTGGTGGTGGGACATTACAAGAATTAAAACTTCTTACATCATGCAAACTTACTCAATCATTTTTGATTTTGTATAATAAATTCATGTTTTTCAACTGCTTCCTCCTGAACAAAAGCTTAACTTCTGCTGGATCGCCTCATGGGTGAAAACAAATAACGCGGCCAGGGAAAGAGGTGCTCCATTATAACAAAAGGGAGTATTGCTGTGGTTGAGTCTATAGTTTAATTTTTTTAAAAAGGCACCAATGTGGATTTCATGTGAGTGTTTGCAGAGCAAAATGGTGTTGTGCTACTTTTGTTATCGCAGGAAGCACCTCCCAAAAGCAGTGCTACAAGGATGTAAGCCACAAGTTCTTTTTAACGAATGAATCAAATGCCTGAGAGCCACGGGATGGCTGCTTCTATCCTACACAGACAGTGCGGCCACCACAGTAATGTTCTTTTAAAAGTGTGAGGCATTCCCATGTTGCATAACGTGAGCATGTTCATTGTAACTGTTATAGCTTATAGGGATATGTCTGCAAAAGTAATTCCCTGCACAGTGTGTTTTACAATCTCTCAAAGGGTCATTAGGCAGCTTTTGCTCCGTCTTTCTTTTTTATCACCTTCCAGACCATCTTGCGGATTCATACAGTGTGCTGCAGCAATCGCATTGGGTTAGTATGGCAGAAACTTCATTTCGAAAAACAATTATTGTGACCCCTTCTTTGCCTTACCAGTGGATACTCTTCACTAGCGTAGTGATGTGATTTTGCACCGACTGTCGGTTGGTTTTCTCTGCAATAAGAAATAGTGTTTCGGCCCTAAACATATTGACTAGAGTATAAAGTTGGGCATGTTGGTAAGACATTCTTAATTGACGTAGCGCATTTTAAAACATAGGACAGGGGAAGGGACAGAAAGGAGCGCTTACTTCCAACAAAATTTTATTTCAAGGAGCGTACATATATATGCTCATGAAATTCGAAAACAACAGACAAACAGATGAAAAACCCTCTATTGCCATGCGCTAAAAACTTATGACCTCAAAAACGATAATTCTTTTTCACAAAGACGGAGAGAAGTATTTCTGACGCAGTTCAGCCCTAATCTACTAATCCTTTCTGCTTCAATAATCTCCCTTGTCACTTTATTTCTGTTTTTTGCTATGATTACCGTACCATGAAAAAGTGGTTTGCAGCCAAACGTGCTGCAATGTAGTGCCAAAGAACCATCTCGACCATTTTTTACGTTGCAAGCGTGTTCGCGGAGCCGGTCATTAATACACCTGCCAGTTTGTGCTATGTAGTGTTTACCGCATGAAAGAGGTATCTGATAGATTACAAACTGCGCGCATGTGACAAACAGTGTTAAGTGCTTTTTAGAGCATCCCCGTTTTGCATGTGAAACAACTTTCATACACAAGTACGAGAGCTTTTTCGGGGCAGAAAACACCACCTTTACATTGGCCCGCTCTCCAACCTTTTTCAAGTTGTGGGAAATTCCACGCAGATAAGGCACTACGGTTAGCTTCTGACGTCTTACTGGCTCAACATGAGGGTGAGGTTGTTGCAAGGACTGAAGCTTCTTGACCAGAATTCCCGTGACGGAAACCTGTACGTGAGAGGGGTAGCCAGCGTCCAGAAGTCGTTATCTGCATGGAATTTCCCACAACTTGAAAAAGGTTGGAGAGCTGGCCCATGTAAAGGTGGTGTTTTCTGCCCCGAAAAAGCTCTCGTACTTGTGTATGAAAGTTGTTTCACATGCAAAACGGGGATGCTCTAAAAAGCACTTAACACTGTTTGTCACATGCGCGCAGTTTGTAATCTATCAGATACCTCTTTCATGCGGTAAACACTACATAGCACAAACTGGCAGGTGTATTAATGACCGGCTCCGCGAACACGCTTGCAACGTAAAAAATGGTCGAGATGGTTCTTTGGCACTACATTGCAGCACGTTTGGCTGCAAACCACTTTTTCATGGTACGGTAATCATAGCAAAAAACAGAAATAAAGTGACAAGGGAGATTATTGAAGCAGAAAGGATTAGTAGATTAGGGCTGAACTGCGTCAGCAATACTTCTCTCGGTCTTTGTGAAAAAGAATTGTCGTTTTTGAGATCATAAGTTTTCAGCGCATGGCAATAGAGGGTTTTTCATCTCTTTGTCTGTCGTTTTCGAATTTCATCAGCATATATAAGTACGCTCCTTGAAATAAAATTTTGATGGAAGTAAGCGCTCCCTTCTGTCCCTTCCCCTGTCCTATGTTTTAAAACGCGCTACGTCGATTAACCTAAACATATTTCGTATAGATTGTGTCATTGTGAGGCGTGCTGGATATTTGTTTATTCCACCTATGCCTTGCACAGTACTTCCTCACCATGCTGATCTAGCCCAGCGGCACATCAACGAGGCCTTGCTTAGTTGATGGCTGCATGTTGATTGCACAATCACTTACGTCATGCTTTGTTTTCATGTGATTGCCGTCATGATGGTAGTATGCGTACCCCTATTCACGATAAGAACGACGGAAAAGCCAAGTAATAAACTGAAAACTGCTATAATGTGTGTTTTATTGGCTGTGACTTCATCATTTCATCACGTGAACACAAATTTTGTGGCAACGTGCTCACGTTTTACAAATTTGCAGTTATCAGAAATTTCAGATGATGGGGTTGTTTATTAGCTGTTTAAATTTCAATTATGAATGGTCAATTTATGCACTGCATGGCTTTGTTGATTTATATTTTGCAATGCTCCTCTGTGGAATAGTCTGCAGCTTCCGTCATTATTTATGTTTTCATTATTCGAAACATTCTGTATGTTCAATATGTACCAACAACAGATAAAAGTTGCGCGACACGAAATGCTCGATAAAGCTAAATTCTCACTTTGTCTGAGAATGTAATTTTGAAAGAAATATTTCATACTTCACTTCGCATTCCGACCTATGCAGTCACCAGTCTAATTACAAGCGTTAAGTACCGACGTAGAGGGAATTTGCATTTGTTGTGGATTCAACATCTACCAAGCTTTTCCTATTGATATTACTTCCATGGAGTTTGCATGGTACTAGAGCTACCTCCTTTCTCCCCTTTTGTAGCTACATAGCTGGCGGTTCATTGCTTTGCTGCTTTGTTTACCTAATACCTATTCAACCAGCACATCTAAAACGGTGTTTTGGGTGTACTGGAATCATTGAGTGTTTGATATTTTATTAGTCATGGAGCCTTTTTCGGTCTTTTGGCTTTGCTTTTTGGCAACTTAACTGCCATTTTCAGAGCAATCTGTAGATATCAATATTGACTCTACTAAGCTTTGGTTCAGAAAGAAAAGCTGAACAGTTGCCGAGGTGCATGGCCTGCGCCACAGCACTCTAGGTTAACAGAAATAAATTCTAGGCTCAGTAATATGTGGGTCCTTGCTAGTTGCGTGTCTTGCTTTCACATAGAGCTCTTTTCATTATCCTATAATTTATCTTAGATTGCTTACAGCTACTCTACCGTATGAACAACCCCCGCACTGAGTGGATTTGACTTATGTAAAAGTTGCACTTTTGAATAAAGCCAAAATGCTAGATGCCTAATTGCTTTTTAATTGACATTTACATTCAGAACCACATTATTATTGTCACATCAAGTGAACAAAGTGGTAATTTTAGATTGTTCACCTATTTCAAATAGGAGAGGTGAGCCGCTTAGTAGGTAGTATTCAATTTAAAAAGGCAGGGCACGCAAACATGGACTCGATAGAGTAGTCAAGACACCGCAAACACCAACCAGAAAAGTTGACACTAAGCTACAAAAGAAACAAGGCAAGTGGTGGTATCGATCAAGATGGCATGCCTGTTGGTCTATATGAGAGATTACTGTTCAGCATTTGATTTTTTTCATTGAGTCATTCGGTGGTTGGTTCACACTTGCACTACCACATGTCGCTATACCAAGACTCAACAATAAGATGCATTTCTTCATTTCTGTGCTTGTACAAAATTGCATGATTCAAATTTCGGCATGCATTTATGTCGTGATATAAGGATAGGTTTAGTGATGAGCGTCTTGTTAACAGTCTTATATGTTTCCTTAGTCTGGCTTCTCATTGTTAGTTGGCATTTGAATTGTCCTCACTCACCTGCGGCCATGATTTTATGCCCAGTCTTTTCAACGTGCATGCATATAATACTTAAAGAAAATAGCTTATTGAGTGAGTATGAAGAAGTTAAATTTATGTCTAGTGTGAAATGTTGTTTCTCTTTTTTTCTGTCAGACTTCTTGTTTAACGATGACTGGGCATTATTTTGGAGCCTGCTAATGGGGTATGAGAATTACATACATAAAACAGCAGCTGTTAGCATTCTTTCGAGACTGCTACCTCATCAGACCGAGAAAGTAAAGTTGTGTTACATGGAGCATGCTAAAAAAGTGAATTGTTTCTAATGTTTTTTTCTTTTCTCGGAAGACATTCTACAAAAACTAGCCCAAAGCGGACAGAAGGCAGTACAGATGGACACACAAAAGCCATCGGGTTGCCTTAGAAACTGTGACTGAGCATTCACCTGTAAGTATTTGCGAGTTCATGGCCTTGTCATGTTAGTCTGGGAAGTGGTTTTTTGACCATTTGCAATATTTAAAAAAAAACATGTGCTTTGATGCCTCAATGTGGGAAGAAGTTGTTCCAGCACTATTTTTTGGGGAAAACTTTCTCATACAGCAGAGGCCTTTCAAGCCATGTGCTAAGAAATCGAGTTACGGGAGAAAAGTAACTGACACATGATTGTTGCTTCATGCTTTTACTACAGTCCTTGCTTCTTTGCCAGCAAAATTTCATAGCTACGGTATCGAAATAACTTTTGTTTCAATTTACGCTAATGTTGGTCGTGAGGAAACACGGCAAAACGGTACTCCGCTGCTGACCCTCAGGTCGCGGGATCAAGTCCCGGCTGCGGCAGCTCTTTTCCGATGAAGGCAGAAATGTTGTAGGCCTGTGTGCTTAGATTTCGTGCACGTTAAAGAGCCCCAGGTGGTCGAAATTTCCGGAGCCCTCCACTACGGCGTCTCTCATAATCATAGGGCGATTTTGGGACGTCAAACGTCACATATCAATCAAATCAAACATGGCAAAATGCAGTGTTTTTTGTGTATTTTTACAAGAGTGATTCTTTCCTGTAGAAGAAAATTACATTGTTTCCAGGGCATTTACCAAGAGGTAAAATTACTTCTGACTCTAAAAATTGAAGACGCCTTCACACATTTTTACCATGTGTTTCTTGGCTGATAAGACAGATATTAAAGCATAAACGTAAAGGGTGAGCATTAATTTGAGAAAGAAGGCTTACTGTCCAAATCTTAAAATTCTAATAAATACTACATGACAGTTGTTTTATTATGGCAGAACCCAAGATGATGATAGGGGGGGGGGCTTGAATGAGGGTCAAATCATTAAAAAACGTTTGTTTCTGGAGCCTATCGTGATTTTTCAAGATTAGGTTGTTTTGAATGTTTGAACAAAAATTGTTTGTTTAAGCCATCGCAGCAACCTTGATACGGTTTGCTGCTCCGGTAAATGGACGTCCTCTTGTCAAATTACTCATTTTTAGCATCATGGGCATAGTGTTATAAAAATGTTGAGCAGCCAGACCCCTACTAAATACATTATCCTCTGCAGCTAAAGTTTTGCACCCAGTATCATTACAATAGACGCATTTGTTAAAGTTGAGGATTTGTAATGACTGTGTTGAGATGTATACCTGGTGGAAAAAAACTTTGAATGAATGTTAGAGCTTGTTATTCGACAACAGAACTTTTCTTTACCGAGGCAGCAAACTGAATCACATTTGCTGCCACAACTTAGACAAATTGTCTTATTCAAACATTGGCTTGAACAACACACCTAATTTAGCGATATCACACTCAATCAAGCCCCCATCTTCATGTTAGCTCCTGCCATAATAAGATGCACTACTGTTATGTAGTGTTTATTGCATTTGAAAAAACTTTATATGCAAGCCTTCCTTCCTAATTTAACGCTAACCATTTGTGTTGATGCATTATTTATTGTCTTCAATAAGGTTAATACCTCCACCTTGACGTTATGAATAAGGCGACGTGTACCCATCAAGCACTCTGTCACGCACAGTGACTGAGTGCTGGATGGGTTGAGGCTACTGAAACGACAACGAAGTCCTGATTCTCTTATCTCACAGCTCCTGTTTCTCGCTCCATAGGTGCCGTTACTATATGTTCCCTGCCGCACGTAGGCCTTCGCAGTGGTCTACAATATGATTTGTCTTGTGTAAGATTTCATGTCTTGTGTAAGATTTCATAGATCATTTCAGATCTATCATGTCACGGATGGTCCGGTATATTCACTGATGCACCAAACATACAAAGAACTTTGTGTTCGTTTCTTGCTAAGGCGTTAACACTGCGGTTTGCACCGCCGAACAAGCCAGCATTAGAAGCGTCTCCCTACTGATCATCTTTGAGAGGATGCTACTGCATTCTGTTACGCGATGTGACAGTCTATGAACATTGGGAATTCACTGACTGGTTTTCCCTCCCTTGCTTTTTTTTTCCTTGTCGTTCCTTCTATCTATTTCTCACCCATCTATTCGCCTTCCTAAATCTCCAGTGTAGGCTTCTCGTTTCTCCTATTTCTCACCTATCTATTCCCCTTCCCAAATCTCCAGTGTAGAGTATCCAGCCGAAAGTCTGTGTGGTGAACCTCCCTAGTTTCTTCTTTTTTTTTTTGCTTTCTTCCTTCTGAAAGAGGTCATGTGATTCCCCCCTTCCCCGTCAATTTCCGCATCGTTTTTGAAGTGTGCGACACATCGGGGCTGCAAGCAGACGTCACAGTTCCACGTGCAAGGCCTTGAGCCACGGCGTGGGCAACCCCGTGGCCCTAAAATGGAGGGTCCCTGTGGGCAGAGGCCCATACGAGGAAACAGTTCTTTTTGCAAAAAAATGTTGCCGTCACTAATTTTTAGGATGGGGGTCGCTTTGCGGAAGGTTAGGCCGCTGGCGTAGGTACGTATATGGACGCCTGAAAGTCACCTATTATCACTTCGGCCCCCGCGGTAGCTATCGCGAATAGAGCACTGCATGGTCCCGGGCGGGCAGGGTGAGACATTTTTTAATTGGGCCCTGGCCGGGCTCGGGCCCATGAGCTTCGGGCTCGGGTCGTGCCCGGGCCTGAGTCAGGCCTGTATTGGGCCCGAGTCTCATATACAGGGTGTTTCAAGAAATGTGTCCAATATTATTAAAAAAAATACAGAAAGAAGTATATCAGCTGCCACATTTCCGAATTTTCAAAGTGGGTATAGGCTATTCAAAGGGGAAAAATTAATTCACCAATTTGACTAGACTAGCAATATCCACTAGTTAAAAAGTCAATTGTTTTAATTTTTGTAGTTACTGGCGTAATAGAAGCTGCCCTCGTTCTTTTAATCTGCTGCGAGACCATTAAGATTCAAACATGAATTAACTTCCCGAAGTCATCAATGCAGAAGACAAACTATTGGCGGAAGCGGTTGTTTTAGCAAGCGTTACCGCTGAACCTAGAGTTAGTTTTTGTGATGGGGTTAGACCGATTGCCGAAAGCAGTGCGCACTGCCAGTGAAGTCCATTGGGTGTCGGGTAACAGAGCGTTAATTACCAATAACACGAAAACGAAATGAACTCTCCAAAGACTATTATACAGCGAGGAGCATAGTCCACAGTATCCGAGCGTCCTGCGAACATCATCATATCTGCGTCCTGCGAACAGATGTACAAGAGGAAGAGAATTTCGCTGAGTCGTCACAACGGGTTCCGGAGCTCCATACCAGTGGTATTGCGAGGAAGACATTCCTGAAGCAAGGTAGCGATATGATGAGGTTAAACGAAGTCATCAATTTTCAAAATGGTTGCAACGAAGTTGCGCTACTAAGAACATCAGTGAACGATCATGACAGTATTGCCGTTTGTTTGAAGAAAGAGCTATTTGAACCTTGTGAAAAGTATAAGGTCACACAAGAAAATACGGACATGCGGAGAAGATTGCCACTGATAAAATGTTAGATATAATCTGAAAAACAGGTACGGCTAGAACGCCAGTTGTAATTGACGCCTCTTTGAACGGAGCAGAAGAATACATTTCTATGTTCAACTTGAAGCGGAAGTTGCAGATAGATTCTTGACGTCAGCTCTCCCTTCGACAACGGGACAACTCCAGAAGGCAGCAACTGTCCTGAATGGCTGCCGAAGTATCAACATAATGCGCACATCAATTTGAATGACATGCAAAGACGTCGTCAGCCTTCACGGCACTTTAGCTGAGCTATGTGAATTGTTCTGGTCACTAAGACGACACCCACGTGTTAAACAACTCCGCAGTAGTTGTGATGCATGCGAGTGGTTAACACTCAATGCTCCCTTAACAACTACAACACCTTTCTAAATGACAGTGTGTCCCTATCCAAGCTGTTTCAACTCGGCAGTGTCGACTTTGGGCCTACATGAGGCTGCAGGAGAAAGCTTTACCGTGAAACGGTATATTGTCACTTTTAAAAAGGTGCCAGTTCGAACAGTGAACATATTTGAAGTGCCTTTCAGTCTATAACGCACCTCTGAAGGCTTTCCGTTCTTTTATCGCGCAGAGTTTCATATTACGATAAGGAGGTAATGGTCAAGACAGATAGTCATGAGCTGAAGTCGAGGTTTTGAAACACTTTATTATAGGACTTCAATAAACTCGTGCGAGTAGGGTGAAAAATGTACCATAATGCGTTGTGGTGAGGATTTCTGGAAGGATCAGGCCGACTTAAAAGGCTGCCTGCGCGGAATATTAAGGAAAGTTTAGCGAAACTGTCGGGGTTAGAGAATTTGTATAGAAAATTGCGCGCGACACGGACTGAGGAGACGAAGAAGGGCAGCGGTGCAGAGTAACACACACTAGAATTATGTGTGAGTGTTTGTGTGAGTATTTGCGAGGTGAAGGTTGTGTCAAATATCTTACAATATGACGAATAACCGATTAGCCCCACAACAAGTTTTATTGGGCAGAGGCTTGTTTGTTTTTGGAGTGTTGAATGCACGCCATGTTGTGGATGGCACTGGGACGAGCGGTAATAAGTACTTCAGAGAGATTTTCCCACAAATGCATAACACTAAAAAATCGAAGGCAGTCGCGAGAAGACGGCAAAATAGGCATCTTCAGGAAGCAACGAGGACGGTGGCTTGCATGCTAATAGGTTTGGCCTCTTTGACAAATTATGGAACTACGGTAGTGGTAACTTGATAAACAAAGGTGGGAAAATAACCTTGGTTTGAGATCAAATAAACAGTGTACGTTAAACACAGCCCAGAAGTCGACGCGATAGCTTTAGTTTATGTAACGCTGCCCATCCTGGTGCATTCGGCTGCCAGCTCCTTTATTGACGTGCTACACTCTGGTCAACGATGCTTCAAGTTTGGAGCGTGGAGCGGCTGCCGTCACGTCTTTATGTATGACAATTCTGAGGACTTTCACTGAGATGCAGTCGGCCTCGAGCTCTCGCCTTGAGTGCCAAAGGTTCCCATTTTCAGGGGTGGCAACGGTAACAACTTTATTAGAAACTCCAGCAAATTCATGGCCTGGGCTTCGGACGCCCCCGAGTAGGGCTAGAGACCATGTTTCCTCGCCACCTCACGGGCTTCACGGATGGCTTATATTTTATCCTGAAGATCCCCCCCTCCCTCCCGCACTGCAGGTTCATCTGAAAAGACAGCATTTTCTTTGCGCATAATCCTTTTCCCCGTAAACTTAAAGCTTCATTAAATACGTAGACCAAGCGGACGCCAAAAAAGCGTATTTTTTGTTTATAAAAGCCTCTGCCAATAAAAAGGTGCCTTGCAATTGCTTTTGAGCATCACATGGTAAGAAATTAACTTGCTTTACTGTATCCGCCTTGCTCTACATACAGTTGGCGGAACCTTCAAGCTCGATTAGTAAAACAGAAAAAATAGTGTTGTTGAATATAGGTGGACAAAGCCAAGCAAGAAAACAAATCTGTATTCTTTACAGAGCGCATTGTGAGATAGGTCTCGAAATGATATAGTGCAACACGAGGTATGTCATTTATAGCAAACACCTTCGATTGCTTCGGGAACTTCCGGTTCTTCAACGTGTGTCCAATGCACGTCACATCAATGCTTATTCCTCTAAACGTTTCATCAATGGAATGCGACTGCCACTGGTAAGATTGAATTTGAACCCGTGATGCGCGCAGCAGAGCAACGCTAGTTTCGGACTAAATATTCACTTATTGATCAACAACGTGACCTGTCAGCATCAATTTAGGGCTAGCATGTTGGTTGATTTGTGGGGTTTAACATCCCCAAACCACCTCATGATTGTGAGAGACGCCGTAGTTGAGGGCTCCGGAAATTTCGACCACCTAGAAGCTGTGGCTAGCACGTTCTTGTATGCTAACCATTTATGGCGGAACGGTTAACTAAGCTTTAAAACTTTTTCCGCGGTGAGTAGTTGGTGAACTTTGGAGTGAGTGCGTCCGACAACTAAAAGTGGCATCACAAAAAGAAAGTGGTTAGTGAGGCGCCTGTTGTTCCGGTGGATTGAATAGGTAAGGCGTAAACTCGCAAAGGATCATGGGATGCATGCGGTCTGCACCGGCTTCCGTTTCAACGGCTCTCAGGCTGCTGCCTCACTCCTTGAGTGCCATTCGCTTTATTTATGGCAACCTAACGAGTATGCTGTGAATTTTCAGCGCACGTTAACATGGACATATCTACGACTGACTATGAAAGAATGATGTGCTGTCATTGCAAAATGAGATTTTCACTTCAAGTGGCAAAGAATGAACTGTACGTGCTATCGCATTTGTGCGTTTCTTGGGAATATTAAGCGGCATACCTTTAGTTGTCATGTCTTTCAAGTAATTTTACACTTACATATCAACGCAGGTCACCCATACCGTGCTTATTTTTACGTGTTTGTAAGGGTGTTTTGGTATCTTCGCATTCGCAGTTGCACCGCAGCTTTTTCCATTGTTCAACGTGTGCAAGGGGTATCCAATGTTACTAGAACCACGCGCTCAGCGGTAACGGCGTGGCAAAACATTCAATCGTTCATTTTCCAATGAAATTGTCTATATAGAATGCAGCACTTACAAAGCTCTCAAAGTGAAAGAAGTCAGTTGTAACTTTTTTTTATCGAACTCGAGTCATGTTTTCTGTTTACGCATTGCATTGGTGAACAGGCTCGCCGTGTTTGTTATTCGTAGTTACCTGTTCTGCCCGCATGTGCACCAGATCAGGTATTAATAAATTGACTATTGTATACGAAAAAAATGCTTGGAGGAGCACTTCCGAATTACCAGCCACATATTGTATACCTGTTCTGTAAAGAGAATAGTGGAGCGCTTTCTCGTGTTACTGACACATCATTTTCTCCCACTGCTGCGAGGTAGTCGTCTTCAGAAGCAATGGCTGACTGTGTATACTTCGCTGCAGTTAATGTCATTGACGAATGTTGTGTCCATGGATTTCGTGGTATCACCGCTGGTCTGATGTCGTGCGGCTGTTGGCTGCTGTGTCACGCTATTTTCGTTATCAGGGTCAGAGCTGGCTCCACCTTGCGTGGCCGCCGTGCGTCTTAGCGTCAACGCCGTGTGCATGTCGTGTACGTTCGTAGGAAGTTCGGTGCTGATGAAAACCTACACATCCGAATTCGTTGGTTTGTTGCTTCCATCTTGACACCTCAGTTTCTCTTTCGTAGTGCCATAATATCGACGGCACATAATCAACCTGTCGTGGATCCTTGCGGGGAGTGTCCGTACGTAAACAATGAATGTGTCATACAAACGAACCCATTCAGGGTTTGCAAAAAATAGCGCCCACACTAGGCATACAAAGGCTATATACCACTCACCGTGGCTTTTGTTATTAACACAAAGTGCACTTAAAGTTTTTTTGTTTTCGTGAAAAAGAATCGGAACATCTTTTCTCTTTGGTGGTTGAACTCGAGCAACTGATAGCTGCACAACACACTATGATTGCTTGAGCGAATAGGTTTCAACACCACCTAAACAAACGACTTGTTTACAGCTCCAAAAAAGTGGCCAGTGAAAACGTGCGCCACGAATAAATTGAAACGGAAGCCGATGCAGACGGCACCTCCCATGATCCATTCCCGGTTTACGCCTCACCTATTGAAGATGGCAGCTACCTCATATCGAGAATAAGCGGATTTTGTGGAAAGGGCAACTTCCGCAAAAAGAGGCTGATAGGGTTTTCAAGGCTCTCGCTTGGATACAGCCGTCAGAGGAGAAGTGTCGATCTTTGGGTCATGAAAACGGCGCCGAAATAAAATATGAACGTTAGCGGTGCGCACTGAAAGAGAACAGAAGAAGTACGAAGGTCATAGCGCAAATATGAAAGGCACAAAAATAAGACGCAAATGAAGGGAGAGTTGCTGGGTTGCTTTTGATAGAATATTTTGTATTTACACTTAAATATTATGTTGCATCATGCGGCTGTTATGCTACAACAGATAGAATTGTACCGTATGAACCATCTAATTATCATTGTAGGCTGTTTATTTTCTTTTGTTTTACAAGTTTATGTAGTCTAATTTCTTTTATTATCTTGGTAGCTTCCACCTAAAGCTCTTCCGTTGCAAATATCTTATGCAGTTTGGGTGCAGAGGTGGTGCACGTCGATGTCGCAGGCTTTCTCTTATATTAAGCTGACAGTCTTTATCCCAAAAATTTCTGTGGGATAAGCACAAGTGAGCTATTGAGAAGAAGTTCTGTGATAGTTGGTATATTGCAAGAGAAATGACAATAAGGCAATTGAAGTAATACCTAAGTTTTTCTTATTTATTATGACGGAGACACTGGTTATGTGGTTTAAAAGATAATCATGACAAAATATACCAACTTTTGTTATTATTAGACGCAAATAGGATCTACAAGCTGCGTAGTATTTTTTTCTTTTTACACGACAGCACTGATTTAAGGTCACAACGCACTACTAACCCTACTAATATCCCTAATTATTAGGTATGCGTGCTTGTATATATGGTCACAATTATCTGAAAAGCGAAGAAAACCTATCGTGAAGTTATTTGTCCTATTTAGGTGGAATCCCCATAAATAATGGAGAAACGAATGCGAATTCTAAAGAAAGAAAGAAAACTTGTATCTGGTTCTTTGTGTCTTCTCTCAACATACTTCCCAACTACCAACCTCTCCACTATGCCCTAAATAAGAAGTACTTGTTAGACGTTTTTTGTACCTTCCTTGCTGCTTTCAGAAAAAAAATATACCTGCAGGAGCCTTCACTTAGTTGGCATAAGTACACGAGCCCTCTGCCCAGCCCCGTAACACAAAATTGTGCATCAATACATCTGTGCAATGCCTCACTTGACTCACTCCACCTCAGGTATGCCCAACGACATTCTGCATTGACATTGATATATTTTTTGTGCTAGCAAAACAAAATAAAATGACCATTTTACTTATCCGATCAGGGTGATCATGGTTTATTGATGCGTTCAGATGAAGTTAGTATGCAACAAATGTTTCATACTTTCAAGGAACCATTTCTTTAATGCGTGGGAGACCCATGCAGCCGTCTTTTCGAAAAGTTTCTTTTTTGTTATGGGAGGTGGAGCTGGGAACAAAATTTTTCGTTTCTAGTAAAAACGTGCCACATGGGAGAAACTGGAAAAAAAGGGAAAAATTCTGTGCCAATACAGAGACACCTAGTGTAGATAGTGCAATTTCACTCAAGGCTAAGTTGTTTATTCTCTATAGGGTTGGTTCAACTTGTACAAGAACAAACGTGAATTAGCAGAATACACCAGTGTCGGCTGCAAAAATAATAAAGAAGCCTTCGCAATTTGTGCTTTAGTTCAAGTAAGCTTGTAAGCAACTGCGTTATTGGTTCCTAAAGTGAAAAAAAATACAAAAAAGGGTGGCACTGCGTTAGAGGTGGCTGTCGCAGCAAGGATATTGTTAAGCTTCGCCGGATAATTTCAGTTTCGAAATTCCTGAATACCAGTTTCTTCAGCCATGTGAACACAATCACATAAATCCTAAAAGTGCAACGCGTATTAAAAACCGACAGCCACTCCCACAAAGTGAACCACCAGCCTTGGTAGCATATACTGTGATGAATGTTGTCTGCTGTATCTCCGTAGTTCAATATATGTCCTCGAGACCATTGCTCACCGATAGTGCTTGCTACATGTCGATCAGGTGCTACATGTCGATAACACTTGCTACATGTCACATGCTACATGTCGAACGGTAGAGCGCTAAGGCCGATCTTACTGTAGCAAGATCAACCTCAGTGCTTCACTGTTTTAACAGTAATATCATTTGTGTCATGAAATACAAGGATGTTATAAATAAGCGTGAAAAAGTTGAGAGATTTGCATTACCCTTTGCGAAAAACAAATGCCACTTTACGTATGTACGTAAAATCGCCACTTTACGAATGCGTGGTGTGCCGAATAGTAAAAAGTCCTAATTATATATAGCACCGTGCAGTAGCGTACCATCTATAAACTCTGAATGATCTGACGTTTTTCTATGCCAGTCACATCCACCGCATCATCATGGAAGAACCGAGAAGGGGCATGCATGCACTAGCAGCGCACCTGAATGCTAGTGCCTCAGAATAGAAGTGCGCGATGGTTTCGGTCGTAGCGAATACAGGCTGAAGCAGTCGTGACAACAAGAAAAAACACCACACATTGCCCTCTTGCAGGTATAGAGAAATTTGCTGCAGTGGAATCATAAGTCTGGTAATCTAAAACTTGATTAAAAGCAACGAAAATAAATAAGAATGTACCGCGTAAAGGTCGAGATGCCGACTCTATGCTTTCTGTGTGGTCATGCTTACGCTATACATTCTCCTTACTGCAGTTTCAGATGGCTGCCTAGCCCAAGTTTTTGACCCACCCAAGAAGTGTGTTAATAACCGATTTATACTCGACACACCAAATGAGGGGAGACTACAGCAGTGAAGTAGTCAGCAAGCTACTCAGGACAGTTGGAGGTCCCTTCGACGCTCGGTCTTTACTGATGAATTGCAGCACTTTCGCCGTCTGGGCAGGATACAAAAAAGGATGAATCTGACTAACCATCATCACGACCATTAAAATTACCTGATGCCTCAAGTGGCGATAGCAAAGCCGTTTAATTGAAATTTCATTTGTAAACGAAGGTGCACCTAAGCTGAAACGCATATGACAATAAAGAAATCAACAAAAAAGAACCGGTCAACTTGCAAAACTTTTTTTTTTGCAGATGTTAACAGAAATTTGTAAAAACAAGCATCGTGTTCATGAATGCTCCTCAGCGAGACTTTGCCGAGGAGAAGGTGCGAACTTTTCCGCGAGAAACATTCTTTGCCTTCAAATTTAATACTTAGTAGAGAGTTTTGTGCTGGGTACCCAAGCTATTGGGGCGCTGCGGGCTTGGGGGCGCATGGCGTTGCGGACCCAACCCATACCCAACTGGAATGCCTTATAGAGGCGCACACGCAAACGCAAGCCACACGAAAGTCACACGTGCTCGCAGCGCCATAGCGTCTTGTCGCGTAAGTATTATTTAAATATTTTTACAGTTTAAAATGTGAAAATAAACATACATAGTGACATGAAGTAAACTAATTCCAATAAATCATTTTTAAATAATATGACAGTTATCAACACGATACAAAAAAAAGCTTTTCTGTATGCGCCACACTTGCGACTGATGCCGGCACCATCGATGCCAAGCAATCCAGACGACCGGTCATAGTCTGACAGTGTAACGTGTAACGGTGTAACGTGTAACTCTGTGTATATTTTAGCTTGTACGTATACTTCTTTACGTTAATGTGTTATCGGATACCAGTTTGCGTTTACCGTTTCACCGGAACGCACCTCTTCCAACGTTTGGAGCTCCTCATACGTAAACATGTATTACGTTTTCGCAAACCATAAATAGTGATGCTAACTGCATTTAAACTGTATTTACCTTATGTAGGGAAGAATCACCGTTCCTGCAAAATCACGAGACTTTTTTTATTGTGTACAGTATCCTGGTATACGCAAAAGGTGAAAAATACAAGGTTACTGTAACAATAGTGTCGACATCTTGTGACACTTCGTGCAACCACAGTCATGAACGTGTTGGCTTGCGTGTAATGTTTTTGAGGTCAAATGAATAAAAAGGTTACCCATTTGTAATGTTGTCGCTGCGCGCTTTTTGCACCAGATGTACAATGCACAATGTTTCTGAAATAACAATGTTGTGATTGTCTGGTGTAATAAGACCGCGTTAGATGGCGCCACCTATTCAGCTGGTCGGGGGCTGGCATATTTTTAGTTTCTATGTTCCATGCCATTCTAGCTTTGGTAATCTGGATGAAAAAAATGTAATTGCTGTTGGTGCTCGACGGCTAGACTATCCGCAGTGCAGATACCATGAGTTCTTGTGAAAGGTGGACGTTACAAGGCGGCCGATCTATGGTGTCCGAGATTTCGCGCTTTTGTGACATACTACTTGTATAGTGGGTAGCCACTATAATATTTGCGCTTAAAACTTAAAAGTCAAAGTGGCGGCTCTGGCCAGCCTTGGCTTTGCTCGCCGTCAAGGTAACATGATGCGCCAGCATGTGCACCGGGAAGCTTATCTCCGCTATAGGAGGCCAGTGGTGGCAGCGTTGTTTACGGCCGCGCGGACGCATGGCCCCATCGCCCCAGCGATCTTGCGACGCATTTGTTTGGGGTTTCGCACATGCGCAATACTGCTGCCCCAACGTCCAGGGTATGCAAGCCGCTTGGGTATCCAGCACTAAAACTCCGTAGTGATTGCGCCTCCAGCTGCCAAAACGGCGCCCATTCTTCGGCGAAGACTGTCGAAGAGCCGGGTCACAAGATTACTCGCGTGCAGGCACTCCCATTCCTCATTTATGGCAGCCCACAGCGCGTCTTGAGAGCTGCGCTGAATTGGCTGCCTCGAGAGTGCCTTCTTCATTGCGCCACACTCATTCTCACATATGTTCATGTCGGCGCCCTGTGAAGGCCACTGCAACAGCATCACTCCCAGCTGTTTCAGCAAGCGTTTTGTTGATTTGGCCATGCGAATAGGGCTGTGGTCCTTTGAAAGAATTACAACCCATCGGGTAACTGTCCATCGAGACCATAGGCCACCACGAATCTTTCGATGAAATCGCAGTATACCAAAGCGTTGAACCTGTCCTCTATGCGAAATAGTGGTCCAAGGCCTTCCTTGGAGAACGCACCCCACACGGTGATGGAGCAGCGACCACTGCTTGTTACGCACTGTATGTTCTGGAACTAAAATATGCAGAAGGAATGTAAACCGTTATTTCAAGCCTTTCTGCCACTTTGTCATCATCAAAGATTGCGAAAATAGATTTCTGAATAACAGTGCCGCAAAATATACCGAATCATAATGGTTTTGCCGAAGCGCAGGCACATTTCAGAGTCGCCATAACAACAAAGTAACGGCGTATGTCGTTACTTTGTTTTTGTTCGCCATGCAGTCAGTGTTTATGTTCGCCATGCAGTCATGTCATACCATACCAGTTTTGCAGCTCGTGTTGTGAATGAAACCGCCACAAAACAGCAAGATTATGACGCGTAAATAATGACATTCATGACGCACATATAATGATTCTTATTGTATGACTAGTAACTTATACTCATCATACACTCATATTATGCCATACCACTTTTAGTATAGATCCCACCAGCGAAACGGCCAGGAGAGCTAAACGTCGTAGGCGGCTAGAAAGATAGATAGATAGATAGATAGATAGATAGATAGATAGATAGATAGATAGATAGATAGATAGATAGATAGATAGATAGATAGATAGATAGATAGATAGATAGATAGATAGATAGATAGATACGTATATACACGCCAAACGTTCTTGTGTACGCGACAAAATGTGTCGCATTAAAAGAAAAAACCTCACAACCTATTCTACAACCTGTACTGTGCACGTTTCAAACGCGATATTTTACAATATGCACTGTTAAAATCAAATCAAGGACAAGATCCTTGACAATGTGGCGCATACCCACGCTGGGGGATTAGCCAAGAACCGGATAGTTTTCATAAATGTTTTCCTTAATAACAGGTTAAAATGAATCTATTCACGAGAAATAAAAGAAAGATGCAACAAGACGACTTTGATAGTTGTATTGCAAATAATGTTAAGCGTAATACAATAAAGCGTCGTATTTGATTTATTATGAATTTGGGAATTTCAAAATCTACGAAGAATGATTTCAACTCTTAAACCTCTTCAAACTTTTGACGAACTCCTGCAATGCGTCAACAATCTTCCCGTCGCTTTGGCCTATAGACAAAGTCCTGAAAGAAAGCACCTTTTGAGCATTTAAATGTATACCGAGAAGGTGGCAAATGGCACCTGAAGTGTTTTTACGTAAGGCAGAGAATCTATTACAATAAATGAGCTAATATTTAGTTGACTCATTTAATTCAGAATCAGGACAACAAGGGAAGGCTGCCAGGCCAGCTCTGTGTAAATATAAATTTAGCTGTGAAATTTGACAGCGCAGTCTTTTGATTGCGATTTCCGTTCCTCACGTTTGACATATTTTACTATTCCAATGGTATAACAAGTGCTTGAATTCCGGTGTGGCTGTTAGTGAAGGTGTCGAAAATTTCTCTAACAGCAGTTTCCTTCTTAATGTAGCGTCTATCAAGAATTTAGTTGCCGGTAATACATCAATAACAGGCCCATTTGAAGATGACTTGGCCAGCGCATCTGCCATTTCATTCAAATAAATGCCTTTATGTCCTCTAATCCTGACCAATTTGGTCAGATTGTGATGCGAGGAAACTAATGCTTTGAAAGCACTCTGAGCATGCGAGTTTTCATCTGCAGTTTGACAGACACATACTGATAGTGAATCCATTAAAATCATTGCGGACATTACTGAAGCAGTTATTTTACGGAGAGCTAGAATTATCGCGAAAAATTCTGCTTCAAATATGGACACAAAACCTGAAAGGCGAAGCGAAAAGGACCAGTCTAGGGCAGCAGAAAAAATACCAATTTCACATTTTTGTTCCCTTTGTGACGCATCAGTTGCTATGACTGCTTGTATTCAAGTATGTGCCAGGTAATCTTTTAATATAGCTTCTAAAAAACTGAGCGGCATCAATTGTGAATTATTCGTCAATATATTAATGAACTGTAATTTAATAGCATTGTTATGGGTACTGATTAAAAAAACAGCAATAATTTGAACGTCTAAATCATCTAGAAAGCGCTGTATAACCAGAATTTGGGGTATACGAAATCTCGACCAGTATTGTCCAAAAAACAAGTCACGATGGTCAATAAAAACTGTTTCTTAGCGCCATACGGGCGACTCATACAGCCTGAGAAATGCCTGTGTAGCTAACAATTTAAAAAGAGTCGTAAGTGAGGGAAGCCTAGCTTCCAGATACAAGATCTTGATTGAAACAAACTTAGGGGAACCTAAGCATAGTCTCAAGGCCTGTCACTCTATGACTACCAGAAAATGTATCTTGTAGGCAGGTGCCCCCGCGTATAACATGCAAACAAATTGAAGCACCGCGCGAATATACATACAATACACTGAGATAGGAAAATTTCTCCGCATACCTAACCGACTATTACAGATTTTGTTTAATATTCCCACCGCACGACCTCGCTTTGCTGCAATGTACTCAAGGTCGGTCTTTCAAGACATTGATTGGTCATAGATCACCCCCAGGTATTTCACATTCACTACTTTAGGGATGGGATCCAGATGATAGGAGATCAAAATGTGAGAAGGGTCTTTGAGTGGAAACGTTAAAACGGAACTTTTTTTGACATTTAAATACAGATGTAAGCTATCAAGCCACATTTCGACGGCAAATAGGTATGTCTGTAATATTTGAAATAGCTTATGAATGTCCTCTGCTGCTGAAAAAATTGCATTGTCCGCATATACATAAGTGTGGACGTCCTGATGCTGTGGTACAGAGCTCATCAAGATATTGAACAACACTGGGGAAAAGACGGCCTCTTCGGGACACCTCTTGTTTGCATATAGTTAGAAGACGAGATGCCGCTTTTGTAACAGTAAAACGTCGTATTGCGTAAAAATTCTGCTATCCATGACTATATATAGTTTGGGAAGTTAAGGTTGTGCAGCTGGTTGATTAACACTATATGCTAAACGCTGTCGTACGCTTTTGCTATATCGAGAGTGACAAG